GTCCTCCCCCAAACCCCTTCCCACTCCCCAAACTCACATCCCCCCCCCATGAACTCCCCAATGCCACAATAAGTTCACAACTGACATGGGCTTATCAGGGGCTCCCCCTAAAACCCTTAAAAATCCCTTTGGACAAAATCGGGCCACAATTTTCTCCAAGCAAGTTCAAAGTCCTGGTACACTCCCTCCCAAGCCTTACCTAAAAGGGCTTATGCAATGGAGAAAACTGAATGTTCTCCCCAAAAAATTCTTAGGTAAAGGGGTTTTTGGGGTCACTTTAAAGCCCCTTTTCAAACATGTTTTTGGTGTAATTTTTTTTAAAGTTGAAAGACCTGCTGTCCATGGCTGGGGGAAAGGGAGGGGTATGGGGGGCAAAACTTTTTTAAAAACCCAACCTCCTTCAAATTAGTCATCCAATTTGGGGGATGACGGGTGCATTGCCTTATAGGAGGCACTTAGATCCAATTTTTTTTCCAGGGGGTAATTCTTCACACTAGGCCAAAACGTTTCTTGAACCACTCGAAAAAAATTTCCCTCATGACCCCCTTATTATTAATCCCCAAAACCCAAAATTTTTACTTTTCAAAACATTTTTTCTAAATACTCTGGATTTTCAGAATTACACTAGTAACATTCACTTTGAAACCCCCACAGCATAGCCGAACATGACGCAGCCTGTTTTTCATGGGCTTTTCCGGCATGCCTTTTCCTTCTGAGTAATGTGGGTCCTCTTTGCATTTTTTTCCAAAAAGAGGCCTGTTTTGTCACAACGAACATTTTGTTCAAGTTTCAGCCCTTCCCCTCTATTACCCCTTGTTCCGCACATATTTTTCCACTTTTTGGTCTAACTGGACCTCACCACCCTTTATCACACTGTGTATCCATACCCCTTCTTAAATCTCTAAAACCACCTTTGGGGCCTTAAATTCACTCACATCACCACTATTCAGGCAATTTCTTTCCCCAAACATCATGCAACTGCCACCTTTTTACAAATAATCGACTCATAAACTATCCCTGCTAATTGTTTTTTTCTTTTTTCCACACCAAAAATTAAAATTCTCAAACTTTAGACTGGTGATCTCATTTTTGTCAGCATATTTACCCCCTTTGCAACAACAGCTTCCTTGATTTCCTTTTTCTTGGCCACGATGGAAGATATGGTTGTACGGGATTTGTTATACATCCTGGCCAGTTCGCCCACATGTACGCCACTTTCATATTGTTCAATGATGTTTTTCTTAAATTCAATCGCATTTCTCACCTTCTTTACCTTCTTTGGAGCCATGGTAGCTTATTTAGCACTTGCAAGCACTAAAATGAATGGAATATTATGAAATATTTCGTATGAACAAGTGAGGGGGCTGTCGCTCACTGGTAAACAATGGCACACTGGCTGGGAAGGGAGGCCGAGGTGGCTCAGAGCCGTGAGTATGCGTCCAGGACGAAAGACGATTAGCGAGTCAACGGACCATTTGCGAGCCAATGTTTGGACAAAATAACGCGACGATTTCTGAAAAGGACGACTATCGATCTGGACTATTATCGAGGGACCATTGTATATATATACGTATACATACATACATACATACATTCACACTATGCTTGCTTTCCATTTTGAAATTTTATTCGCACAAAAAATTGAAGATTTACTGTTATGCAGGCTACTGCATTATCGTAACTGCATAAATAATGTCAATGCATTGCTAGATGCATATTAGAATGGCCAGTTGGACACACATTGGACGGGTTATGTCATTTGTGTACTCTGAAATGTTGGCAAAAATCAAACATTTCCACTACTTTGTGCTCAATTTCAAGCTACTTTCAGTCCAGAAACCAATCAAAATCATCTCTATTTCTGTAACATACTTTTCATTCTATTAAATGAGACTAAAAAATAAGAATACAACCATAAAAATCATATGAAAATACACTGCAAAGTTGCCGTTTTAAACCAAAAACACGGTTGCAGCTTTTTCCCATTATGCACTGCTTGCTGCAGGTTTTTTTTATTTGGTGCACACTTACCACACAAACCCATTCTCTCATATCTAGGCCCAAATCTACCACTCACTGCTTATCTAATTCTTGGCAAACAAACCATAAACAAGAATGCTTGATCATGGTTTAGGTTATCCTAGACAGACTAAGGGTAAAGGGACCCTACCCCTCCTCAGAAAAATTACCAAAAACTGACTATTTCTCAGGCCACTTACAATCTGAAACCATCCAAGGTCATCTCCATTTCACTAGCATGTCTTTAAGACTACTAACTGGTGCCAAGAAAGAGCAAATTAAACCATGAGCCATCCTAGAAAATGTTCCAAAGTCACTATTTTAACCCAAAAACATGGTCAGAGGTTAACTGTTCCCTTCATGCACTGCATGGGGCAAGATTTATTTTTTTATACTGCACACACCTATTGTTTCATGTTTAGGCCAATATTTGCCATTCAGAGCATATCTGAGGGTGCTATGATTTATGTGTAGATCTACATAAGCACCAGTGGCACCAATCATATAGATGCATGATGTGATTTCACACACTTCTGATTAATACAATATTGTAACTCCAGTTTATTTCATGAAACAAAACTATAAATGCTTGCAACTTCACTGCAACATACATTACCACTTGCCTTTCAATTACAATAAATTATTAATAAAAGGGTACTTTACTACATCTATAACTTATGGTTACAGAATTCCATTATCAATCATTCCACAGCAAAATAATTAGCCAGTCACTGGAGGAATTTACCATCAGCTGTCAAGGAAGAGCCAAAGCCAGCATTGGTACGTGGAGAGTCTTCCAAGACCTGTGTGGCCGTGCAAACTGCATCTACGGCGTTCCCGCCCCCTCGGAGAACTTCTATAGCCTGAAGAATAATGTTCACTAATCAGTAAGGATGTGTGCCATGCTTAATTTTATACAAAATAAACAAATAAAATTCCTGCCTTTAACATTTTCAATGTGCCATCCTGTGATACAATGTGCCATCTTGTGGTATAATGTGCCATCCTGTGATACAATGTGCCATCCTGTGGTATAATGTGCTATCCTGCAGTGCAATGTGTCATCATATGGTATAATGTGTCATCCTATGGTACAATGTCATCCTATGGTACAATGTGCCATCTGGTGGTACAGTGTGTTACCCTATGGTACAATGTGTTATCCTATGGTACAATGTGTCATCCTGTGTACAGCAGCTCTTGAATTTTTACATTTTAGTTCCATCCATTTTAGTTCTATACAACTTAATAAATAATTAATGTATGTATATAGTTATTTTTTACACTGTGATTGAGAACTAAACCTGTAAAGTTCAAACAGTACCAGGGAAGAGGGTGGCCAGGTTCAATCCATGGAATGGGAAAGGTAGCTCAAATTCCTTGGATCAAGATCTCTTCACTAACATCAAGACATCCAAAGGCAATGAATATATAGCAGTTTATATGAGAAATATGCCAAACTGTTCATGATTTAAAGAGAAAATATACAGGTGAGCCCTGCTTTACAATGTTTCGCTTATACAGCAGTTTTCAATTATAACCATTCTTCATTCATTTGGACTTCCTACAATTAAATATATTCACCACTCACTATAAGCTAAGGACAAAAATATTTTAAGACAAGTAATGTGTGTGCTTTATATGCATTTTTGAGGCCTAGCTCTTGCTCACTTAATATATGATAGTGTAAACATGTTATCAAGCTTTCATTTTTTATTTTATTATCACACTGGCCGATTCCCACCAAGGCAGGGTGGCCCACCAAGGCAGGGTGGCCCACCAAGGCAGGGTGGCCCACCAAGGCAAGGTGGCCCACCAAGGCAGGGTGGCCCACCAAGGCAGGGTGGCCCACCAAGGCAGGGTGGCCCACCAAGGCAGGGTGGCCCAAAAAAGAAAAACTTTCACCATCATTCACTCCATCACTGTCTTGCCAGAAGGGTGCTTTACACTACAATTTTTAAACTGCAACATTAACACCCCTCCTTCAGAGTGCAGGCACTGTACTTCCCATCTCTAGGACTCAAGTCCGGCCTGCCGGTTTCCCTGAACCCCTTCATAAATGTTACTTTGCTCACACTCCAACAGCACGTCAAGTATTAAAAACCATTTGTCTCCATTCACTCCTATCAAACACGCTCACACATGCCTGCTGGAAGTCCAAGCCCCTCGCACACAAAACCTCCTTTACCCCCTCCCTCCAACCTTTCCTAGGCCGACCCCTACCCTGCCTTCCTTCCACTACAGACTGATACACTCTTGAAGTCACTGTTTCACTCCATTCTCTCTACATGTCCGAACCACCTCAACAACCCTTCCTCAGCCCTCTGGACAACAGTTTTGGTAATCCCGCACCTCCTCCTAACTTCCAAACTACGAATTCTCTGCATTATATTCACACCACACATTGCCCTCAGACATGACATCTCCACTGCCTCCAGCCTTCTCCTCGCTGCAACATTCATCACCCATGCTTCACACCCATATAAGAGCGTTGGTAAAACTATACTCTCATACATTCCCCTCTTTGCCTCCAAGGACAAAGTTCTTTGTCTCCACAGACTCCTAAGTGCACCACTCACCCTTTTTTCCTCATCAATTCTATGATTCACCTCATCTTTCATAGACCCATCCGCTGACACGTCCACTCCCAAATATTTGAATACATTCACCTCCTCCATACTCTCTCCCTCCAATCTGATATCCAATCTTTCATCACCTAATCTTTTTGTTATCCTCATAACCTTACTCTTTCCTATATTCACTTTTAATTTTCTTCTTTTGCACACCCTACCAAATTCATCCACCAATCTCTGCAACTTCTCTTCAAGCTTTTATGTGCACTTGAAAGTGAAAAAAGGCTATGTTTCACTTTACAGTGATTTTTGCTTTACAGCAGTAGCCTGGAACCTAACCTGTTGTATAAGAGGGGCCTTCCTGTTATCAAAAAACTAATTAGAAAACAAATTAAGCATTAATTAAAATTAAATGTTATAGCTGGTGACAAAATGTAACAACAATTGTTTTTCTAATACTAAAAGAACCTATTCCAGAATTTTTTTTAAATAATTACAATGATTAATGTATTTAAACGTAGATGTTAGGGAACTTCAGGAGGATTTAGACAAACTCTACTCTTGGTCAGAAAAGTGGCAGATGCAGTTCAATGTAGATAAATGCAAGGTTCTGAAGCTCGGGAGTGTCCATAACCCTAGCACTTATAAGTTAAATAATATAGAACTTAGCCATACAGATTGCGAAAAGGACTTGGGGGTTATGGTAAGCAGCAACCTTAAACCAAGACAGCAATGCCTAAGCGTACGTAATAAGGCAAATAGATTACTGGGATTTATATCAAGAAGTGTAAGCAACAGAAGTCCAGAGGTCATACTGCAGCTTTATACATCATTAGTAAGGCCTCACCTAGATTATGCAGCTCAATTCTGGTCTCCATATTACAGAATGGACATAAATTCGTTAGAAAACATTCAGCGTAGGATGACTAAATTAATACATAGCATTAGAAATCTTCCTTATGAAGAAAGACTGAAGACTCTTAAGTTACATTCACTTGTTAGACGAAGAATGAGGGGAGACCTGATCGAAGTGTATAAGTGGAAGATATGTATTAATAAAGGGGATATTAACAAGGTCTTGAGGATATCTCTCCAAGAGAGAACCCGCAGTAATGGATTTAAATTAGATAAGTTTAGATTTAGAAAGGACATAGGAAAGCATTGGTTTGGAAATAGGGTAGTTGATGAGTGGAACAGTCTACCTAGTTGGGTTATTGAGGCTAGGACTTTGGGTAGTTTCAAATTTAGGTTGGATAAGTACATGAGTGGGAGGGGTTGGATTTGAGTGGGACTTGCACATCGGAGCTTGTTTCTTGGGTGGCATTGAAAGTTGGGTTGGTCAAATGTTTGTTAGTGGGATGAATTGTGCCAACAGGCCTGCTGCAGTGTTCCTCCTTTCTTATGTTCTTATGTTCTTAAACATATGTAAATAAGTGTCAGAAAAAGTTTTGCCACAAAATCTACACACATGCATAATGTTACACTATGTTACGTATACTATGTTATACACAATTACAATGTTACGTATACTATGTTATACACAGTTACAATGAATTGACACCAATGAGTCTACGCCAAAGCACTTTTTGAAAGGTGTTCTGAAATCACTTCAGAAACGAACTTAACCCTCAGGGAGTTCTGGAAGGAGCATTTCAATATCCTCACCTGCTTAAGGCTTATAGACAAAGACTGGGGAAATGTGTCTTCGAGGATCATGCAGTCAGCATGGAAGAAATTGTGGCAGCCAAGGATTTTGAAGTCTTTGAAGATGAGCCTGAGCCAGTAGAGGATATTGTGTCCCTGGGGAAGACCTTGAGCCTAGAGGTGACTGAAGATGATGTGGAAGAATTAGTGGAGGAGCAAAGAACTGAACTCACCACAAAAGAACTTGTAGACCTTCAGAAGGAGCAGCAACAGATTGCAGCAGAGGAGCTGTCATCAGAGGAAAAGGAGGGAAGGGATGATATGCCCATTACACTTGTCTAGGAAATGTGTGCTAAATGGTGTGTAGTGTAGGAGTTCACTGAAAAATACCATCCAGACAAAGCAGTGGCCATCTGTCTCTCTAACATGTACAATGACAGTGTAATGTCTCAATTTAGGCAAGTGTTAAAACGGAGCCTGAAACAAACCTCACTGGACAGGTTTTTAGCAAGACAAAGAACCAGTGAGCCAGAACAAGGTGTTAGTGGTGAAAAAGAGACAGGGAAGAGAAACAAAACCAGAACAGTTGCCTGACATATTAACAGAAGGAGAATCTCCTTCCAAGCAGTGACATCATCCCTCCTCTTCTCCACCTCCTGCTTCCAGTATGCCATTGGCTCTCCTTTGACAGGTAAGAAGCAGTTCAATTTTAATTTACTGTACAGTATTTCAGTTAAAGTTTCTTCTAGTATTCATTTTTAGTTTTATGTAGTAGAACATTTTTAATAACTTATTATATTGTCGTTTGGGGTGCAGAACGGATTAATTCTACAGTATTTACATTATTCTTTATTGGAAAAATTGCTTTGGTTGTCATCCATTTTGGTTTTTGAATTAACATCTGGAACAAATTAAATTCAACAACCAAGGTTCTACTGTATTATGTATACTATGTTATACACACTGTTACATACACTATGTTATGTATGCTATGTTATATACACTGTTACATACACTATGTTATGTATAGTATAAACCATACCACAGACAGGGTTAGAACCCACGATCAGAGTCATAAAACTCCAGACTAACGCGTTAGCCACTGGGCCAGCTAGCCACAATAAGGTTCATCCAACTAGGTATATTTATACACCATAGGAAGGTAAGCATAGGCACCACTGTGACCACAAATGCAAGTTTTTACAGACAAATCTCCAGCTAGTGTCGCCGTGACAAACTCTAGTTCAAGTCCCCTCAAAGCCGTCAACATGATTTATGAAATCGTAATGACACGATTGCAAACAAACTATACCATTTGCAATCGTGTCATTATGATTTCACGAGTTATGTATAGTATATTACACATACAGTTACATACACCATGTTATATATACTATACACTATGTTATGTATAGTATGTTATACACACTGTTACATACACCATGTTATATATACATGTACTATGTTACATATATCTGATGCATATCATTCTTAATTTTTCCAACTTAAATATTCATACAGTAATGTATTTTGAATAAATCAATATATTGTTCTTAATTTTCTCACTTACAGACCTATACATGTACAGTAATGTATTTTTAATGTTTCAATGTAATAGTGACACATTAAAACATTATTCTTACATACTGTATTAAAATTCTATTATCATTACTGTTACATTCATGGCTTCGAAGAACTAAATCTGGAGGGGTCATACAGTATACCTGGGAAGGTAATCAGGTTGGATCCAGGGAAGGGACACAATGATTCCTTGGATCAAGAGCCATTCACCAGCATCAAGGTAACCCTCCTCACCAGTAAACTTTATCAAAGCAAATACAAATATTGAGAAATAAATTCTTAGGTAAAAAGTATAAGAATGATTATCAAACACAAACCTGATTGCATGCTTCCTTCATTAATTTTTTATATTCTCCTTTAAGGGATGACGAGTGACTCCCTGCGCCTGAAAGACAAAATATTTAAGCATTAAAAGCAGAAGAAAGAACACAGAAAACGAGAAAGAATAGAGAAGTATTCAGAGTAATAAACAAGAATACCATTCAATTCTATTCAATACCATTCGATTCATTACGATGACCTCATAGCATTACTAAATTCCTTACATGCCAATATGTCCATCATTACACTAACTGAAACCTGGCTAAAGCCTGATAGTACAGATGTCTATGCCATTCCTGGTTACACAGCCATACACAACTGTAGGCCAGACCAACAAGGGGGTGGCACAGCCATATACTACTCAGACCAACTAGAATGTATCACTAATACTTGCACAAGGGATGAACATGGGGAATATATAATAGCTAAATTCAAATCCAAATACCTACAAAAACCTCTCACATTGATAAACATCTACAGAGTTCCACAGTCAAACATTAGCCAATTTAGTCAAAACCTAGGAAGTATGATAACTGATGCACGCATGAACAAAGATCACTTACTACTCTCAGGTGACTTCATATAAATCTCCTGCAAGACCAGGACCCACACGTTACTGAATTCACAAACACAATGAGTAACTGTATGTTACTACCAACAGTAACAAAACCTACAAGAGTTACAGAGACTAGTGTTTCCCTACTTGACCACATCTGGACCAACACCATATCCCCTTTAAAATCAGGCATAATTACAGATAATACCACAGACCACTACCCTACTTTCCTCATAACAACTCTTGGTAAACTACCCCAAGACACTACTAAAGTCACCTTCAGACTTCACAATGAGGCAGCCATTAATAACTTCACAACAGCAGTAGCAAACATTGATTGGCACACTGAGCTAGAAATCTATACAGATATTGACGAATGTATAAATAATTTTCTAAAAAAGACCCAATACCTCTATAACAAGCACTGCCCTAAAAAAACTAAACAGATGACAGCTAAGAGACTGAACAGTCCCTGGCTAACACCCAGCATTCTCAAATCCATAAATACAAAACACCAATATGAAAAACAGTACAGAATGGGTCACATAACCAGAGACCAAACAAAACGTTACTCGTCAATCCTAACCAGCCTGATAAGAAGGGCAAAAAAATTGTATTATGAGAACAGATTATCCAACTTACGAGGTGATATAAAAAAGACCTGGAAAACCCTATCAGAAATTCTGGGAACAAAAAAGATATCACAAAATAGCGAAATAAAATTAGCAAAATCAGATGAACCCCAACTCCCACCAACAGAAACAGCAAACAGACTCAATGATTTCTTCTCCACTATAGGACAAAAACCTTGCCAATAAAATCCCAAGCTCAGATACCCCACCAAATGACTACCTCACCGGCAACTACCCGAACACACTGTTCCTAGCTCCGACTAACCCATACGAAGTCTCCCTTATTATCACACACTAAAAAACAAGGCAGGAGATTTAAATACCTTACCACCCTTTATATACAAAAAAGTGTCACAAGTGCTATCACCAATCATTGCAACACTCTTTAACAAATCCATTGAATCCTCCACCTTCCCTACAGTACTCAAAATAGCAAGGGTCACCCCGATCCACAAAGGAGGAGACCAAACAGAGTTGAATAACTATAGGCCAATATCCAACTTACACCCTCTCTCAAAAATCTTCGAAAAATTAATTCATAAACGAATCTACTCCTACCTCATCTCCCAAAACATACTCAACCCCTGCCAATTTGGATTCAGGCCTAATAAAAATACTAATGATGCTATTATACACATGCTAGAACATATATACACTGCAATAGAGAAAAAAGAAGTCCCACTGGGGATCTTCATTGACTTACGTAAAGCTTTTGATACAGTTGACCATGACTTGCTCCACGTAAAATTGTCACACTATGGTATAAGAGGGCACTCCCTCAACTACCTCAAGTCATACCTCAGCAACAGAAGCCAATATGTGTACGCAAATGGGGCAAACTCTTCTGCGCAACCAATTACAGTTGGTGTCCCACAGGGAAGTGTCCTTGGCCCTCTTCTCTTTCTCCTATACATAAATGACCTTCCAAATGCTTCGCAATTACTCAAACCCACACTATTTGCAGATGACACTACATACGTCTTCTCTCACCCGAGCCCAGTCACGCTAGCCAATACTGTAAATACCGAATTACAGAAAATATCTACCTGGATGAGGACTAACAAACTTACACTAAACATTGACAAACCTACTTCATTCAGTTTGGTAACAGAGCTACAGATGTCCCTCTTAACATAATGATAAACGGATCACCTATCACAAAGCTAACAGAGGGAAAATTCTTAGGAATCCACCTTGATAATAGACTCAAATTTCATACACATATACAACAAATTTCTAAGAAAATTTCCAAGACTGTAGGCATACTATCGAAGATACGGTACTATGTTCCACAGTCAGTCCTCCTGGCCCTATATCACTCTCTTATTTACCCTATCTCACCTATGGAATTTGTGCATGGGGCTCAACAACAATTAACCATCTCAGACCACTAATTACCCAACAAAAGGCTGCAGTTAGAATGATAACAAATTCTCACTACAGGCAGCACACTCCACCAATATTCAATACACTAAACCTACTCACCATACAAAACATCCATACTTATTACTGCACCTATTACATACATAGAACACTTAACTCTGATATTAACCCTCCCCTCAAACATCTCCTTGCCAACCTCAACAGAACACATGACCATAACACAAGGCACAGATCACTCTTTGATGTTCCTCGTGTCCATCTCACACTATGCAAAAACTCAATGCACATAAAAGGCCCTAAAACCTGGAATTCATTACCTGTAAATATAAAAGAAACACTACCTGTTTATAAATTCAAGTCTCTTCTCAAAGATCACTTACTCACCCAAAACCAAATAAATACTGAATAACTGAACCTTATAATCTTAAATGTTTCTCACAATTATATCACATAAATGTTAAACCTAAAACCGAATCTAACTTTATTATTTTTTAAATACACTACCTAACAGAATACTTCATACGACTGAATGTACAACAATGCATGCAACCATATGACCTGTCTTTGTAATACACACTTGAGCTTTATAGTAATCTGTTTACATTAATGTTTTATCACTGATTTCATCATTGCTTAGTTAATCTTAAGTTAATTTTAAGCCAGCCCGTAATGCTATGCATAGTATAAGTGGCTTTGGCATGCTGCTCTTATCTGTATTTTTTTGTACCTCTGTATGTGTGCTCAAATTGTTAATAAATAAATAAATAAATAAATAAATAAACTAAGAAAGAGATCACAATCAAACAATCTAAATTAAGAGTTTTATTATCAACAAATTATACATGAAAGCAGCAGAGTATAATCCAGCAAGTCCACAGTAGGCACATTACTGGCAAACTTAAGACTACAATTAAAATTAATTAATATGAAAAAGACTGCATAAAAATAATAACTTTATTTCAGCATGATACATGTTTGTACAAAGGAGTATAATAACTGAGTGTACATGCCAAAAGCCCCTTTATATGCAGATCATTTTGGGCAAACTTAAGACTAACTAAAGATTAATAAGGCAATAACAGTGCAGTAAATTTGTACATATGGTCATTATGTGAGTAACAATGAATACTCAAACTCCTTCTTGAGAACTACAATAGAACGCACTTGCATAACACAAGACATAAAACTCTCTTTGATATCCCTCGTGTCCATCTCTACCTATGTAAAAATGCTATGCATATAAAGGGCCCCAAGATCTGAAACTCATTGCCTGAATATACAAAAGGCCCCCTGCCTGCACACCAGTTCAAGACTCGACTTAGAAATCACCTCATCTCCCAAAATTAACCACACAAACACTATATATTATCGCCACCATCAACTCAAAAATTTCCAAATAAATATTATAAGATTATTTCAAAACTAATATGGTCTCAATCTCATTATGTAAATTGTGCCAAAAATAAAATAGTGTATCTTGTTAATCAATTACTTAATTCATTTACAGCTAAACCACTACTACCTCTGATGAAATAAAAAAAACAATTTGAAACAACTATGATATATATGCTTAGTATTTAGTAGTCTGTTAAGCATAAGATTAGTTTGCCTGAAATGCCACAGCATGATAGTGGCTTTCATTGTACATACTTAGCAAACCAAAATTGTAATTCCACATTGTAAAGTATGCAAAGAAATAAAATCCTTAATCCTTGAATATTCTATTAGTTTATGCTATATGGCTTTAATTGGTTTGGTAGAAAGGAATTACAGTTTTGATTATTAGCCTAAAGCAGACTCAGTGGAGTGATCAACATCTGAGATTAGATAATGAGAGTAAGTATATACTGATTATAATGGTTTACCTATGTTCATGATATTGAGCAAATTTATGCTTAGTTTTTACATATGTATTTATGATGGGCTGGGATAGGTTAAGGAGATAAGTTTTAACTGTAGTAGTTTTAAACATGCTAGTTGAGTCAGTGGTTCTAGAGATTTCTGCCAGAGAGTTCGAGATTTTGAGCCCTTTTATGCACACTGAGTTTTTGAAAAGATTTAGCATGACACGGAGAATCTCATACAGATTTTTGTGCCCAGTGTTAAGTCTATGGGTCTTATTGCAAATGCCGAGAAAGCCCTTCAGACTGGGATTAATATTAGAAGTGATTGGGGGGTTTACTTAAATAGTTTTTTTTGTTTTTTAAAGCCATTTTAAATTTTTGTTAAAAGGAAAAAAATTTTGATTTGGGCCCCTATTTAAAAACAAAAAGATAAAAAAAAAATAAAAAAAAGAAAAAAAAGGTTAAAAAATGGGGAAAAAAAGGGGGGGGAAAATTTTTAAATTAATTTTTTTTAAAATTTTGGTTTTTTGGCCCTTGGGTTTTTTTTTTTTTGTGGTTTTTTGGTTTGGGGGGTTTGGGTTGTGGGTTTTTTTTTTTGGGGGTTTTTGTTTTTTTTGGGTTTTTTTTGGTTTTTTTTTTGGGTTTGGTT